CCCAGTCACATTTCGTATTTAATATTTTTGTAGTCTGCTCATTGAATTGTTTATTTTGTTTCTCGGGTCCCATGAAACATTTGCAATAAATAGTTTTTGCTAACGAGGCCAACTCTGGAAACGGCCCTCGTTACACATTTCTCACGACTTTTGTTGTTACACATTTCGCACATATGAATGAACCCGAATTGTAACTGTCAACAATGCGATGGGAGAGTTAACTTTTCGTTCACAATTCACAATTCTTTTCGCCTCGTCATCAATAATGAATTTAAGATGCGCAAAGAACTCCAGTACTATTTGGACAACAAGAGAAACACGTAGCCAGCCGGAGCCACCCTTAAGCCGTACAGCATGGAATCACAATAGAATATTCTGTATTTTAACAGATTTTAATATTTTTTCTTATTTTTTTTTTATTCAGAACAAAATCAAACCCTTCACGCTCCCTTTACAGCAATCAAAGCTCAAAGGAATTGTCAACGTGCAAAGCTCTTTTGCACCTTGACAGAACTTCCGCAGCATCAATGGCAACCGCAATCCATGTGGGGATTGTCGCCACCGACGCATGCATTATACATATACATATATGTACATACATATACACATTCATATATTTATGGAAAAGGGGGATGCCCGCTTATTGGCCGCTGCAAAGAAGAGCATTGAGAGGGGGCGAGAGATGAGGGAGAGGAAGCGGCAATTCCGGACACTGCAGACTTTGAAGTTGGCATTGCATAAACGCCAAAGGGTAGCATCATTCTCTTTCCGCATAAATTTTAGAATTATTGAAATTTATTGTTGAATTGCCAGCGAGGAAATGGAGGTGATGGAACTGGAGGAGGAGAGGTGTTTGCCTGTGGCTAATGCGGCCATTCAAGAGGGTGCAATACATCACTCTACTGATGACCCTTATTGTTTGATAATCGCATATTACGACAGCAATTTGGAATTTATAAAACTAAAAAGGAGCTTCAACCTTAAAGACGTTAAATTGTGCGATTATATTTCTTGTGTGCACAAAACGCCATCTATGGCTCATTCCACATCTACCCTCGCACAAAATAAATTGGCTC